CATACTCCAGTTGGGCTTCTTAACCTCCCTTGGTCTCAGTTTCCTCACCTATAAAATTGGAACAACACTACTGACCTTACCTTAACTAAGTGGGAGCTCACTGGCAAACCGCTGCCCCAGGGCCTGCTATGGGGTAGGTACTTACTACCTTCCTCCACTCCACGTACTGATGTGGCCCAAACACAGGCCCTATGATGCATCCCTGTTCATCCTCTTGAGTTTGCTGAATTGCCAATGGTGAAAAACCTAGACTTTCAGAGCTGGAAAAAGAAAGAACTCTGCCACCCACCAGTGCAGCCTCCCATTTCACAGATTAGAAATGCAAGGCTCAGAGAGAGGAAGCCACAGCATTCTCAGGCCCTGTCTTCCAGCTTTCCAGGACCACACGGACCCTCCCTCCTTGGCCCACCTTGTGGGAATCACATAGAAGCCTGAGGCAATGATCCAGATGGTTCCAGCCAAAGGATCTAGAAAATTCTGGCTGAGAAACACAAGCTCCTTGACCATCTGTAGAACTGAAGCAAGCAAAAACCTTTTCACCCTTATTTTAACCGGATCCTGCAGCTTCGCCTTCCTCCCCAGAGCTGAGCTCCTCTGAATGAGCTTGAGGAGGGTGGGTGCTGGGAATGGGGCTCTGAGCTCCACCAGCTCACAGCTTGCAGCTACCAGGACATTTTCACACTTTTTAATGCCAAAAGCTGCCTTGGGAGCCAATCTGCTCCCAGAATTGGCTTTGAAAGAGTGGTGGAAGCCTCTGGGTGATCCTGAATTCTGTGCGCTCAGGCTCATCTTAGACACAGGGGATGGAATTTAGCATCAGCAAAAGGACACTGGGGCCAAAGCAAATGGCAGGAAGTGGACGTGAATGGGGGGCTGCGGGTGACCGCCTTGACCACTGAGCACGCACCTGGCCCTTCTAGGCCTCACTTTCCTCACCCATATCATGGGGATAACAATCTCCAGCCAAGAGTTGTGAGGACTTGGTGAGATAATATACGGGGGAAAAGTACCCTCAAGCCAGGCAGAGAGCCCGTGATTAATCAGCTAAGACGCTGTTGATGGTGGTAGTACTAGCTTGGGATCAGCAAGGTCACCTGGGCAGTAGGAGACCTGCATTTGGGGGGGGAAAAATTAAAATTCTATCTGGGTGACACCAATCTGTGGGCAGGTGGCCCCTCCTGCTTAAGATGGTAACCATGCCAACAGTGTGAACACCATCTCTTCCAGAACAATACCAGGTCTTCTTTGTAATATGTCCCTCGGTGTCCAGACTTCTCAGGGAGCTCAGAGTGTCCCAGAGTACCAGAGAGAAAAAACAGGACATGCCTTTTCTGGGTCACCCATTCACTGGGCTCCGGCACAGGGTTCTGGCAATGCTTTGGAAATCCAGTCCCTTGTGAGGAGCTGTCATTACCACTGGCTCAGGGTGAGACACAGCAAGGAATTATTATACAGCTGTGATTCCCGGTGCCTCCCCTGCGCCACACCAAGCAGATGCAGTACAAACACACTCTTGCTAAGAATCAGGTGTGACTAGTCCCATTTGACAAGTGGCTTGCCCAAGGGTACTCAGCTGGTAACAGGCAGAGCAGGATTCTAACCTAAGTCCAGGTCCTTCTCCCCCATCACACCACACACACATCCTCAGGTAGCCAGGGGGTTTGCTCTGTTCCCTGAGACCTGTACACCCAGCTCAGGAGTGCTCTTTGGAGGTGTTCAAAGGCCACGTTTCTTTTCTTTTTAAAATTTATTGATTTTGGGGGGGGCATTAATTTGTTGTTCCAGTTATTTATGCATTCATTGGTTGATTGCTGTATGTGTCCTGACTGGGGATGGAACTCACAACTTTGGTGTATCTGGACAATGCTCTAACCAACTGAGCTACCAGGCCAGGGCAAGGCCATGTTTCTTGATAAGACTTCCAATCTTGGGAACAGGCAACCTGTCTGAGGCGGTTGTCCTTGTCTTTGTGAGTTATGGGGATATTAGAAGAGCTCTCTTGAAGGTAAAGAAGATGGGTGCTGCTAGGAGTGTGTGGGATACAAGAGGGGAAGCTTGTGTGTGCTTTTCACAGTCCAAATGACCTCCAAAAGGGAGTCACGCCTTGACCTCTTCTCAGCTAATGCCACGGGGCAGTGTTGCACCTTCAGGCTTGGAGGTCTGAAAGACCTGAGTTTGAAACCTGGCTCTGCTGATTACCAGCTGTGTGACTTTTATTGAAGTAATGGAACATCTTCGAGCCAGTTTCCTCATCTGTAAAATGAGAACAGAAACTGTACCTATCTTATAGTGGTATCCTAAGGAAATAAACATATCCATTTCTGCAAATCTTCTTGCCTAGTGCTGGGAATGTGGTAGACATTCCCTTCCCCTCAAAAGTGGGTGTGGATGAGGTCACCCAGGATAGGGCAGGGAACCCCAGCATTTTAGGGTAGGCACAGGAGTGGCCAGGGCAGCAGAGGGAAGCCAGGAGAGTGCAGGGTCATGAAAGCTAAAAGGGCCAAGAAGGTGAGGACTGTGAAGCAATCTTGGATTTGACAACAGGAGCCACTGGTGACCACAGTGGAGGAGTGGGGGCAGAACCAGAGTACTTTGGGCAGAGGGTTGGGTAGAATTTGAGGAAGTGGAGACAGTGAAGTTTGGTGAGAAGGAAAGAAAGCTTTGTGGGAGAACCAAAGTGCTCCCCATTTGACATTCATGAACATTAAAATGAATTAGAATTGAATTTGATTAGAACGTTGCAGTCTACCTAATTTTCACTGTTTTGAAATCAATCTCAGTCCAACATGATCAGAAAAGCTAGAAGGGCTCTAACCCCTCTAAGAGTTGGAAGGAACTGTGGAGGTCCCCCCAGTGCTGGAACCCGATCCTCTTGGAGGGCAGGGTTAGTGGGGGACAATTATTATCTGTCAGGCTCTTTAAAGATACTTACTAGGGGAAACATAAGTCTGGTTTGTTAACCTCGATTCCATTTGTAGTTAGCAAAGGTGACTCTGCAAAGCATGGTGAAGCCTGGGGTGGGGCCTCCTTCCAGACCCACACTCAAATCCTGTTTCATGGGTACTGAGGCCCTCACTTTAGCATCACAGAAAGGAGATGGCCTGGGAGGCAGGGGACCTGTTATGGAAGCCTCAGCTCTGCTCATTCACTGTGCAGACTGGGGCCAGCTTCTCCTGCCCCTCAGATCTTAGTTTTCTCTCACGCAGGATAAAGGGTTGGACACTGTTAACTTTTATATGCCCTGCCAGCATTCTTTTGATGCTCCACGATTTCTATTCTACAATTTATGTACAATATGGGAAATATGTACATATTTTTTAAAAATATGTCTTTGTTGATTTCAGAGAGAGGAAGGAAGGGAGAGAGACAGAAATGTCAATGATGAGAGAGTCACTGATCGGCTTCCTCCTGCCTGCCCCTGACTGGGGATCGAGCCTGCAACCTGGGCATGTGCCCTGACGGTGACTCGAACCATGATCTCCTGGATCGTACGTCGATGCTCAACGGCTGAGCCATGCCAGCTGGGCAACAGTGCTTTTTTTCTTTCTTTTTTTCCTACAGTGCTTTTAACAGTCCTTCAAGTCAAATTTCCAAATGGTAAATGTCCCACTGTCAGGCCTCTCTTCTCACCATTTTGTTTCTGTCTTCCCTGGCGAAGACTTTGCCGGTGCTGAACCCCAGTCCCTAATACTTTCCCCCTGTGATCTCCTTCAAGGTCCAGCTTCCCCCTGCTCTGTGCATTTAGATCTCAGCTGCTGGGGTGGGGCTGTACCTTACTTATTCTGTAGCTACCCCCTCCCCCTGCCAAGCATGCTGTAGGTGCTCAGTAAAATTCTCAGGCCCTAAGGCCATTTGTCCTGCGCGCCCCTTCCCATATTGTACATAAATTGCAGCCTGTTTTAGTCATTAGGGTTTTCCTAGCTTGTCTGGGGCCCAGCCCGGGCCTGGCACGAGGCACCCTCAGCATCGAATGCCAGGGCTGGGCCGGGCTGAGTGACCAAACAGCCTTCTACCCCTCTCTTTGCCCCTGGAGGAAGTCCAGCCTGGGTCTGAACTCAGACCCTGGTCCCACCACTTAGAGGCTGTGTAACCTGCAGCAAGTCACTAACCTGGCTCTGGAAGGATGGAGAGCCCAGCTGTGCCCACCTGCGGGGTGGGGTGTGCGGACTAAACAGGACGACACGTGTAAAGGCACAGCGCTGGGCTGGCTCCTATAGGTGTGTCCCTCCTATCGACGAAGGCGCAGAATGCCCGACGCCACTTATCAGGGTGGGGCGGGGAACGAAGGCACCGGCGGCGGGAGCCGTCCCCGAAGGCGCGGCGCGAGCTCGGCCCCGCGCGGCCCG